GTTATAAATCAGTAAAATGGTGATAGGTTTATACAGCATACACCCGTCGATGGCTGAATGTAGCCGAAACTAGTAGTGTATTTAAATGATGTTTTAAATCTTTTAATATTATTTTATTATTATAATTGTGAGTGACTGTAACTTTTAATATATATTTTAATATATGAATCACAATATGACGCAATTACAATATCTTATAATCTTGACTAAATTGTATAATCATATGTATATAAATATTTGGAAAAATCAATAACCCAGTTATGTAAGGACTTCCAAAAATCTTAATTTTCTTAAATTTAGGATTTATATGGCTACATATATTATTACACCTTTGAAACAGAACAAAATATATCGTACTAAACCATACTTTTAAAACATATATAAAATATAGTATATATCAGATAAGAAAGATGACATTTCTTATGCTCCTGTTGTCTTGTTAGTAACAAATTTGTGCTTGCTACTGCAGAGTAAGCAAAATGACTGCTGTATATAACATTTATTAGTTTCACATGCAATAGTATACAGAATTAACTTTTTCTAAATATTTGTTGTTTATAAACAAACATTTTGTATCGGAAGTCGGAAGGCACTGGACTATATTTTCATACTTTTAGGCAGTGTCTTTGAACAAATTTGCTAAGGAATATTTAACATATACATACAATACTATCCTAACACAATACAGAGATCTGTATTAAATAATTAAAACAGGTAAAATATTTAATATGATATATTAAACTGAGAAATCGGCAAAAAATGTATTTTATACGATCTGAACAAAGTGATCGATGCATATATTTTCATAAGTTTCACATTACCACATGGTACTTCTGGCAGTTCAGCCAGACACAGAATAAAATTACAATAAACAATAAAAATAAAATATTATTTTCATGAAAATACTTGAAAGGAACCATTTAAAATGGTTTAATTGAAAAATTTATAGATTTTGTAATTCCCAACTTTTCTTTCTGGGGCTGAAGCATTGGCATCTTTGTTTGAATTTTGTGTGATATTTGATGTACAGTTCTGTTCTTAAAAGAGTAAAGCTACCATTAAATGGAGGGAACAG